TTTCCAGATCCTCTTTTGTTGCCAGTTCAGGGAGTCCAGGTGGTTGAGTATCAGAGTGTTCCATCTCATTTCCCTTTGGAGTTGCTGTAGGTGATCTGGAAGTCTTCTTTTGAGACTTGTTTATGTGTCTTCTCATTTTGTCTGGGGGGGGGCAGGTGCTGTTGGCGCCCATGTGGCTCACCTCCTCTGAGCTGTGAGTGGTGGAATACCAGCCCTGAAGCCCCTATCTCTGGGCTGGTAGCGGTGGAATTGTAGCCCAGAACCCCCTACCTATGGGCTGGGAGCAGTGGAACAGCGGCCCAGAAGCCCCTCCCTCTGGGCTGTGAGTGGTGGAACTTGTAACTCTTATATGATCTGCTGGTATTATACAGGAAGCTTATTGATGTGACACTATGATGTGTGGAGCAGAAAAGCATTCTTTGGAAAACTGGATATCCACATACAATACTGTGAAGTTGGAACATATCCAAAAATTAATTCCAATTAAGACCTAATATATGATTTAATGTCATAAAATTCCTCAGTCAAAAATGTAAAATTTACACTTTGCAATGATTTGTTGATATTCCCACTGATCTCTTGATATTCCCAATGATTTGTTGATATGACTGATCCCAGTCACAAGAATCACCCCAAGATCCCATGAGATGGGAAAAAAAGGGGCAGATAGACCCAGGATTGCACTAAGTGTGGTTTATTAAGTCTTGCTGACTAAATTGTGGTTCCCTTAAATATTATGTAAGTTGAAAGAAATGCAAACTTAGAATTGGATGTGTAAAGAAAGTGTGAATTGTGTCCTGCCTCCTTGCTCCTGTATTTAGCCTGGATTATTCCTGCTCTCTACATAGAATTTTAGAAGGTTCTCATAATTTTGGGGGGGTACCAGGGATTGAACTTGGGACCTTGTACTTGCAAGGCAGGTGGGAGAACTGCTGAGCTAAATCCCTGGCCTGGTTTTCATAATATTTTATATAAACTTTCCAAGACATGATGTACCCATGATAATTTTATTTATATTTTTTAATTTAGTCTCTTATATTGTAATATAAAAACTCCCTTCAGGCCTCCCCAATAGCTGAAGTTGTTGGTTAATTCAGGAATACTTCACATAGGCAGGCTACATATCTCATTTTTAAATTTACCTTAATTTACACTTACGTAGTTCTCAAACAAAACCAGAGCATAAAACAGTATGTAACTTTTTTTCAGGCAGGGCCTTGCTCTGTAGTTCAGACTGGCCTTGAACTCATAGCAATCCTCCTCTCTTAGCCTCCTTAGTGCTGAGATTACAGGTGGGCACAACCAACTGAATCCCACCCTACATCAGCTTCCCCACCAATAAATTAGGTTTCATATGAGTGTGTTTCTAGGACTTTGGGAAAGTTAATCTCATATTTGTAATCTATGTAACAGAACCTGAAACAAATAAGTGCTCAATAAATGATCCTTCTAATGGTTCAGGCTACTTGCACCCAATGTAAAGAAAAATTATAGCTTCTTTAGGATTTGAACATCTTGTTAAACATTTTTCAATTTTGTTTCCTTTTAAATTTAAATTGACTTCCAATATCTCCCTATTTCCTGTTTCTTTTTATAATCATAGTACATGTATCTGCAGTCAATACATTCTTATTTTGACACAGTTCCACACAGTTCCTTAAGCATGAACTTCTACAGCTGGTAATAGTCACCTCAGTGTTTTAGAATGTGTCTAGTGTGAGGAAGACCCTGGCCTCCATCCTCACTACCATAAATTTTTTTAAAGTCCAGGAGTGAAATTTTAAGTTAAAAATAGCCTTTATGTTGGCATCCAATATATATATTGTGAAATTCTTTCCAATTTAATGGTACTGATATACATTTATGATTATAGTCTTGCAGGTTTTATACCTCAGTTGTTAAATAGTACCAAACTCAAACTTTCCAGGACTCAAACAGCAAAGTTTAAAAAAAAAAAAAAAAAAATCTGCTGGCTGTTCAGAACTTTGAATGATAGGTGAACCAAAAATCCGACTTGAAAAAACCATGACTTGTGTGTCACGGTGGACGCAAAGGGGTGACGCTGAAAGTCTTAAGAGCCGCTCTCACCCAGATAACATATAGAGCTTGTGTTAATGTGCTGAAATATTAGTCAATGCGGGGGATTTTTAGCTCAGTGGTTCTGCTGCCTGCCTCGCAAGCAGAAGGTCCTGAGTTCGATCGCTGGTAGCCCCCCCCCCAAAAGAAAGAAAAAACCCGTAGAAATAAAATATTAGTCATTGTGCTTTAAAAAAAATTTTTTTTTGCATTTTATTTACATACAGTATCATAACCATGGCTCCAAAGAAAGTTAGTGATACCAGAAGTAAAGCTAAGAGGAAAATTGTGAGAATCATGATGAGTTAAAGAAATCATTGCGAAATTAAAGTCCTAGAAGAATGAATTTATGTGTAATTTTTGGGCCTCAGAGCCAATTTCTTGGTTCTCCATTATTTCTTATGGGAAAAATATGTTCAGTTCTCAAACTCTGGTGTTCAAACACAAATTTGGAATGAACTTAGTTCCACAACTGAGATGTCACTGTACTCATATACATGTTGAAAAACATTCTCTCTGTAAACTCAGTGTTTTGCCTGAGATTTCAGTACTAGGACTGTTCTTGTGCTCTAAGCTTATTTTATGAACACTGAAACACGGCTTCTAAATGTGGTCTGCCAAAGATCTGAAAACAGTGTACAAAGCTTTGTATGGTTCTTTTTTTTGTACTGGGGCTCAAACTGTATGGTTCTTTTATTCTGGTTTCAGTCCAAACTTATTTTCCTCATGATGTAATTATTATTAATTCTTATATTCTCTTTGCTAAGACAGTTGCTTTTTTCTTTTGTAGCTTTCTTCCTAGTTTTATAAACTATCCCAAACCACTTCAAGCAATAAAGTAAAAAATCAAATGAACGCTGATGATGCCCCCTTGGCTAAAAAATGGTCATGGTTTTGTTTACTAACACTCACAAAGGATCAAATTCAGATGCAGAAGTGCTGTACATACCTGATCTTTCACACACTCCACTGTGGCCCTACGCAGGGGTGTGATGTTATAGGCCATAGTCTGTGCATTTTGGCCCAGGACACACAACTGGAACTTAACACTCTCCCCTTTCTGCAGGCAATCCCCTTTGTTGGCCATTCCAACTATGCCAAATGGATACACTTCACCTTTCATATCCCCTGTAATGAGAAACAAGTACAAAGTCTAAAAGCTAGTATTTCACAACAGTTCTCTGCTGATGGACCTAATATTTGTATAAATAAAGTTGCTAAAAATATGTTGTTCCTTTAAATACCTCTCATCCACCCACTACCTTTATCTCCTGAGTTTTATTTGGAAGCCTAAAGGTAAGGGGGGGGACAGTACTGGAGATTGAAGCCAAGGCATTCCTAATAAATTACATCCACCCCAGGCCCACATTCTTTTTATTTTTTAAATTTTGAAACAGGGTCATGCTAGGTTGCTCAGGCTGGGCTTGAACTTGTCAGTTTCCCTCAAACCATAGGCTCCTTTCTCCTACATGAGGGCACAGAACTTTTTAAGTATGTTCACAACATGGCCATAATGCATAAGTCTCACTGTCAGGTGTCTTGAACTAGCTTTTATTAATTTTATTACTAAAAAGATTGATAAAGATTAGATTTATATCTCCAGTGGCACAAGCTGTCCAATGGGACAGTCATGTATGCACGACCAGTGGTTCAAGCTGGCTGAAACATGTTAAAAGCCCAAATAGTGACTATTTAGGCTTGCAAGCCATCCTGTCTCTGTCAGAATACTCTACTCTGCTGTTATAGTGAGAAAGTAACCAAAGACACTGTAAACTATTATAGTCCCATTTTAGCAAAACTATCTACAAAAAACAACCCCCACTCCCCCATAAAGTTGCCTAGAGGCCAGTGCAGGATACAGGCAATAAGCTAAGCAGAGAGTTCAACTGCTTTATCAATTCAGCCTCCAGATAAATCCAAGAAATTAACAGAGAGAAATAGGCAAGAAATGGAAACTTGAAAACTAGAAATACTTTAATCATTCTCCTGGTAAATACAGGGAAAACAAACTTGTAGGAACAGGAAAGTTTGAGATTAGGTCAAGTCATGTAACAGAATGATAAAAGAGATAACCACCATTTATTAAGGACTCATTTGGATTCACATTTCCTTTTCATAGAATACTCTAAGTAAAGCTGAAGAGATTGAACTAGGAAAGATTTAATAACTTGTCCAAGGTTATACAGCTACAAAGTTTTTAGACCCAGTTCTGCCCAACTCCAAATTCTTACACTGAATTATAGGTGTGTTCTAAATAAATGAGTTACTCTTACAACCAAATGGAAAAATGTGGTCTAGTCCTAGAAAATTCTATGCTGGGAAATGCTCCCAAAGTATCTTTTATCACACAATCTTTGGTTTGAACTATATTCTGTGGCCAGTGTTGAGGAATAAATGGACTGGGATGTGTGTGTGCCAAAAGGAATTAAAAGCAGTTACATATCTAGATGCCCCCCCCCGCCAAGCTTCATGTCATCACAGGCAGGTCCTTTTGGAGGTGATTGGATTGTGGGGGCTGTATAGCTGGCCTGATGCTAGCAGGTGGGGTCTGGTTGGAAAAGGTGGGTTACTTGGGATGTGACATGAAAGGGTTTGCTCCCTCACCAGCCCTTCCCTTGATGCTCTCTGCTTCCTGGATGCCATGCCTTGAGCAACTGTCCTCTGCTATGCCCCTATGCTATGATGTCCTGCCTCAGATTCAGATGACTACAGACTGAAATGTGAACCAAAATAAATCTCTCTTTTAAGTCGTGGGTGTCAGGTACTGTGTCTCAGCAAGGAGAAAGTAACTAAAGCAAGCAGCATATCTGATGGAAGAAGGGCAATTTGATACCAACTTGTGAGTTAAAAGTAGCTCATACTTCATAGCCTTTTTAGGGATGTTGTGTCATCATGGCATTAAGACTTCCCATAAAGTCAATTCATATTGGTTTTATTTGAAAGGTAGCTATGCTCACCACTGTACCACTAACACTGGCAGTGGTTTTATTTGAAAGAAAAATCACTAAGAACCCCAGGAGGTTATCAAGGTTCATTTCTTTCTCTCAAATGATCTGCATTTCCTCACTTAACATTCTGACTTATAGATGATACAAAAATTTATTCCCTTTGTGAACCAACCATCATTTCTGGGTGATAGGTTAACATATTCATGAGAGGACCATAATATGTAATATCTCACTGGACAGGTATTACATTCCCACCAGCTTGAAACACTGGTGATACATGCATCCCATCGGGTGGTAAACTTGGTGGGAACAAGTTAAAGCCTCTGATCAGCTCCACCATTTTATGATGCTATAGTCTCAATCATCCAGAGTTCCCTCCTATTTCTACTACACTTATTTTATGCACACGTATGAAGTTTGTCTTTCTCATCATGATTGTTGGAAGGGTACAGGAAATTCCTGAAGATGGGCAGAAAAAGTACCAAGTTGAAAATGGAGAGACTTCTGACCAGGAGATGAGAAGCTGGATATCCAGAGTCTTAGCCATTAAGGAACAGATACACTTTTGCAAAAAGTAAAAAAATTTATAAAACTAAATGGTTATGAATATAACTAGTGAATAAGAATGAATGCTGTGTTTATCACCATTAAACATTAAATGTATATTTTTAGTATGAGATTTTGTTCTCCGACAGTAACTCATAGTTGCTCATGTTTCAATCTATGCTCAACAGCAATAGTTTATCACAATTTAAATCTAGGCTGACCTCATTTCTAAGGAGTATAAAAATAAAAAGCAAGCATAGAGGACAGGGTGTGTGTGTGTTGGGGATATTTAGCTGAAAAAGGCTCTTCAACTCCAGGAGATTGTTGCATTATCTGGAGCTTATCATCTAATATCTAGTATAAAAATAAAAAGCAATATATACTGTATGCTTGAATTACACTTTTTCAATTTTATTTGTTAGTTATTTCTTAATAGTGCTGGA